AGAGGCAGGTATGCCTGGTGGAGCTCCATGACTTCTGTTTGAAGTAAAACAGCTGGTGCTGTATTAGATACATGCAAACCTTTTGTGGCATATATATCCATATAGGAAGAGATTTTCACAGTGTTACCTGCATATATATATATGAGTGTCTGTTTTAGGTTTTTTAATTGAACAATTCCTTTCATACTTCCTATTGTTCTTCCTGGTTTTACTTCCCTTGTGATTACACGCTCCCTACACCGTGTGTAGAGCTTATTAATAATTGCCGCATGGCTCTACAACAAATGTTTATGCTTTAGCCACGATGAACAGCCAGGAGCAAGGCCTCGTCCGAGGATGCTAACAGATGACTGTGGTGAGCTTGTGTGGCTTATCGAGCCTTATTCAGGAAGTAAGGGATAGTTTGTGTTTAGATGTGGATTACACATATGTCCTCCCCATGAGCCCAAACGGAGCCTTCGTCTGCTGCTTGTGTATGTTGTTCAAACAGTCATACTCACAGGCTCAATAACAGCAGGCTCTCCCTTCTGTCCTTTCTCACCATGAGCTCCGTAACCCTACACAGCACAGACACAAAAACAAAGTCAGCCCACCCTCACTTATCTTCATCACCTTTATGATTTATTTTTATTCTGCAGTGTATCCTGTTTAATTTCACCTGCCCATAATCCTGAGTGTTAGCGGGCAGCCCTATGTTAGGCAGCTCTGTGCCGTAATCGTAGGTTTCATCTAGCTCTCCGTCATAGTTTTTCAGGTCCTCCTGATTGAACCCTTCCGTGTAATCATAGGCATCCACATCCAGGCCAGTGCCGGTGGCGATGGACCCTCGGTTTCCGGTGCCTGCGCTGGCTGAGCCGCCTCCCACTGACACGGAACTTCCTCCACCCCCGAGAGTGATGGTGGAACTGCTGCTGCTGCTACCACCACCTCCAATGTTCAGAGTACTGCTGCTGCTGCTGCCTCCACCTCCAATGTTCAGAGTACTGCTGCTGCTGCTGCCTCCACCTCCAATGTTCAGAGTACTGCTGCTGCTGCTGCCTCCACCTCCAATGTTTATTGTACTGCTGCTGCTGCTGCCATCTCCATCAATGGTGTGGGTCCTGTCAAAGTCATAGTCGTCATATCCGTAGGATCCGTAGTCATCGTGGGAGGCTCCTGCCTGTTGGAACAATTAACAGGACAGAATAATTGAGGATAACTGGCAATGTGGCCTTTTGAATACCATTCCATCCATAAACATGATCGCTCGAAAAGTTTTGAATGAATCCTGATCAAATTTTGTAGGGGTGTAGAGTGGGGTGGTGTTAACAATCCATTAACATTGGGCCTACATCCACCAACATTTTCAAGATAAACGTATTGATTTGACAATCTAATTATAATTGACTTACCATTGTGGTGTGTCAGCGTATAAAAGTATCGGATAGAGATTTAAAATATCATGACAAGTTTGACCTCTGACCTATCCTTCAAGGTCAATAGATTTAATGCTGATAATAATGCTACATAGAGCTATTTAAAACCATGTTTCTTACTGCTATTGTTTACACACATAAATATCACTTAACTTTGAATCTCAAGTCAAGGTCAAATAAGGTCAAACTTTCATGAAACATCTTTTATCTTTAAAACTATGCTTTAAATTCTACTGCCTTCATTTGTATTGGCAGCATGTAGGAAATGATACTGGTACATGGAGATTCTAAACATCACACTATAGTTTGCATCCAATCTATGCTTCATTTTTACTTTTCTTTGTTTTTAATCACTGTTGCACATGTACATTTTCTCAGACCCTTACTAGGCACCTGTGCACTTTTACATTAACTTTTTTGTTTATTTATTGTAGACTTTACTATCTATCTAGTCACATTTGACCTCTGACCTTATTTTTACATTCTTTACATTTCTTTCAAGAAGGCCCCAAAAAGGTTTTATGTCAACTGAATGAGAATGAGCCGCCTAGTTAGTTAGAAATTAACTGTAATATAATATTACATAATAAGCCCAATTTATATTTATGTCCCATTATTCACAAATCAGTAGTTATTATCTATGACCTATTCCTACATACATGTTTGTGTATTCTGTCACCCTACCTTTGTCTGACTTTGCCTGTGCTACAAACTTCTTAAAGTTTTTTTAAAAGAACAAAGAAAATAAAATGAATATATACAAAGTACAATACCATTCATAAAGGTGTGCAGTAATGCTGGCAACAATTAACTCCCATGATTAATGTCCACCTACTGATGTTTTGTTGCTGGAGATTGTGACTGTAGTCCTTTCACCAGTGGTGATGACCCTCGTTCCAGTCCCGGCATTCAAATCAACCCTTCCCCCTGCTCCCAGGTCCAGCTCGCCCCCAGTGCCGATGCCGGTGATGGTGACACTTCGAGAGGTATCAACGCCACCAGGTGAAGACGTGGAGTCATAGTAGTCGTCATAGCCCTCATAGGTGCCGTACGTGACCCCCAATGCGTAATCATCTTCTCCTCCTCCAGTATCAGTACTTGAAGAGCTGCTGGATGAGCGAGAGGATGAGCCGGTGGAGATGGAGGTCCAGTCGGTGCCAGTCGAACTGCCTTTCAAAATCTCACCCCCTGTGATCAGACTGTCCCCTTCTGTCTCCTGTAAAGATATTTGGAGGGGGACGTTGGCATTGGATGCTTTACTGTAGTAACATAGAAACAATACAGTTATGTATAAGATGCGGGCATTTAGAGCCAACATGAAATGGTACCTCTTTTGTGGTTGTCTCAGTTGTCTCAGAATCAAGAGTTGAGTCATAAGGCTTTTCCAAATCATCGTAGTAAGGGTATTCATAATAGTAGCTGTCCTCCGCTTTCTTCTAAAGGGAGAAAAACATTCCACCAGCATTAAGAGAGTGTATGACTGAGAGGGAAAGATTGGCAATCAATTATTAGCAACATGATTTTTAAATATGTTGCACTGCGCTATTGCCTCTGGCTGGCTGATGTTTGTACAACCGGTCGACCATCGATCAGAAGCACACAGGAGTTCCTCCTCCTTGTGGAAAGCTCACACTGTATCTGCCTGTTGTAAACTGCTATGACTGAATGACACATTGCTCTTACATAGTTTTCCTAATGACTCCAGCACCTATCTTTAGAAAAAAGGAAAACAGAGGGGCAAGATTTTGTGTAACAAACAGGGCCCTGGGCAAATCAAAAAGTCAAAAGGAAGAGCTTCCTGTTCATCCTGTAACACTTCTTTGACATCCCGTTAATTAGCACACACTGAGTATATTGGTATTCAGTGGGAAAAATGACACGGTGCATGAATGCAAGCTTAGGCAGGCACCACATCATTCCTAAACATGATTAAGTAAATGCATAGACTGATAACTTGGTTCTTCCCAGTCAGCACTTTTCCTCTGGCACATTGCAGGTTTCTTACACAATGCCAAGAGGCTCTTTTCAGCACAGGATCCAGCAAAGATCTGATTTGAGTATTAGAGACAATTATGGTTTAATCATTTCCATGAGTAAGACCAGCAAGAAAATACTAAGTGGTTCTTTTGTTGGATTCTATAATGTGTAGTTTCATTCTGTATGTAAAGAATCTACAAAAACTGCTTCTAGTAAGCGGTAGCCTACAAAGCTGCACTTACACTTGTGCACTGGTTAACAAGTAAAAAAAAAACTTGGACGAAACCTGTGATTTTTTTTGTCATTTATGTATAATTAGATGCATAGCTTTTTGTACACTAACATCTTCATGGGAAACACAGCGTTTGTTGACATCCAGCAGTTCTAGACTTTCGCACATTTTACTGATTACTGGCTTTAAAATACATTGTGGGATTGTACAGAGGCAAAATTACAAAAACCACATCATTGTTATCTCTGGCTCTGCATTACATTTCTTTCTTTCTCATGGACGAGCATTTTCTCTTCTAACACTGCTTCGTTAAGCTGTGGGGTTCCACAAGGTTCAGTACTGGGTACATTACTATTTTTTTACTATTTTTTTTCTACATCCTTTCTTTTGCTATCACAATTCAAGCACCATTCAAGATTTTTCTATGACAATGATGCTCACCTACATATGTCTTTTAAGCCTCACCAGCTGTGCAGGCTGCTCACCTTAGTCCATGGTTTATTGGTTGGCTCTTTAATAATTACCTTATTTTAAATGTCAACAAGACTAAGACATGATTATATCTCCTTGTGATTTATATTCTCAAATCAGTCGGGCTCTTACTTCATTTTGTTCACATCAGTCAGTGCTACAAACCTTGGTGTAATATTTGAATCCTCTCTAGGTTTCAACTCACATGTAAAATTCATGTCTTGTTCCTGCTATTCTCATTTAAGGAACATTTCTAAATTGCAACTTATGGTCTCTTTTGGAACTGGAGAAAATTATTCATGCATTTTTTTCATCGTCCTTAGATTATTGTAATGCTTTGCTTACTGGCTTAGATAAATGATCTCTTTCACGTCTTCAAGCAATAAAGAATGCTGCGGCCAGATTATTAACGGGTTCCCACAATCGAGCAAGCATCACTCCCATTTTATATTCTTTACACTGGCTTCCAGTAGGTTTTAGAATTTGTTTTAAAATTCTCGTTTTCACATACTGAGCTCTAAACACACTGTTTATCCCAGCTCCTTACAAAGCACACTGCTGCTCATAGGCTTGGATCACAGGATCAGAATCTGCTGGTTGTTCTTCCAGCCAACCACAAAAAAATAATTTAGAGGAGTGCCAGAATAAAACATGGAGCCAGAGATGATTTGAAAAGCAGAAAAGTAATGTTACTCACAGTGTTGTCTGTGCCGGGGTCCTGGTTCTGTGGCTGGTCAGGGGATGGCACTTCACAATCAGGGCTGTAGTGCTCACAGTAGTCATAGGCAGCACGATGGTCTGCTACAATCATTAGCTGCTGGATGTCTCCCTAGAAACCCAAACATACATGCATGCTAATAAGTAAACAAATGAAAATGACAGAAGCAATGCCTGACACTGTGTGACCTGTGAGGTGAAAAAGGGAAAGCATCTACACTGCAAATGTGACATTGCTGCAGAACAGGCAGTCAAGAAACTAGGTCAAGCCAGGGGAATCTCAGGGTGACTAAATGATGAAGAACGTTGTCAAGGGTCCAAGAATGCCATTTTGCATCAGAGTTAAGAGTGTCAGGCGAACAGAGTTACAGCAACACAATAAACAAGATCAAATGTTTGGAGCACAACATGTAAGCCTGACCTCAGTCTGTGTGAATTGTAAGTGATTTTACCTTCAAACTGATTGTGTAAGGCATGTGCATGAGCAGACCTGCAGCTAGGACTAGATCAGAAGAGATAAGAGCTCTGTGTATATCTATGTATACACTGAGTGGACATGCAGTTGTGGAACAGAAGAAGAGGAAGAGAGATTTAAGACAGAGAGAAGTTAAAATAGAGACAGAACAGAGAAGGCTGCTAGAAAATTACTGAGAGAGAACAAGGGAGAGAAAGGCTCAGAAGGATCCCCAGGCTACATAGGGAGCTGGGTGTGCTTCCCACATGTTTCTGAAAAGAATTCATATGGCACCAAAACCTTGTATTGCATTTATCCAAACATGTCCTGGTCGCAATTCCAAATTCAGTGATGTCATTCCACATCAATCAAACACGATGTCAGCGTAGCTGAAACAAATATATTTCCAGGAGGCAGGAGGATCGTGAAGCGACGCAGCTATGGGAACGGACCGCCACGGAGGATGAAGTGTTTTTAATTATGTTCAATTGCCAAAAGTTGAAAAAGAAAAAACCCTCAACATGTCTTTCCAGCTGAAATGAGCTTTCTTTACTGACATGCATAAATGGATTGCATTTGTGGTCTAACCAGTGAGAGTTCAATGAAGTGCACCAATCCCACTGCTTTGCTTGAACATACCACTCAGTACCCCTTGCCTCAGATCCTTTAATAACCCTTGCAAAACACTTCACTAGAAGTTGTTTCCTGCTCCATCCTTGGTTTATGTTATAGCTGGACTTTATAGTGGATGCAGGGAAATCAGTCTCTTCCTCCAAAACAGAAGGACTAGAGGAGCCATTACATAGCACTCCCAGCTATGGCCACCTCTGAAGCCACAATCTACAGGAGGGTAGACTTGGTATCACTGTAGCGCAATGCCCCCTCTTATTTCAGCGGAGCAGTGTGCCGCAGCTGCGCTGACAGGGGACGATGGGGATTCAGTGTTTGAAATGAGGTCACACTCAATAAGAAATAAACCCACTCTACAGCAAAATAGCCCCCTCCATTTGGAGCATTGCACCGCTTTCCTATTCACATGCCATTCTTGCACTTCTCTGTTTTCTTTTTTCCCCCCTCCATCTCCCACAGCAGCCAAAGGAATGTCAGGGTACATTATGGCCACAAGTGGTATTGCATGAACCTAAGTTTTCCAAGACGAGACTATTAATCATACACCAAAGCTTTAATTAGCACATCCTCACAGCACGTAGAGCACCATGGCAGAAGGCGCTTAATGATCTGTGACATGTACACAGAAAGAAGAAAGAAAGAGGTCCTTGCTTGCCTAGGTAGAAAAGTATACTGTTGCACAGGCCCTGCTGGGGATAGAAGTAAAAAAAAGGCTGACATCCATCAACCTCCACTAGAGTTTATAATGAGGCTCTCACTATGACTTCAGCTGTTTTATGAGTTGCATATCTGTATAAGACCTCCTTTAACTTTTAGCCTCAATTGCCAGGCATATGATAATAGTAAGTCCACCGCTTTCTTGTGTGTTTTGTTTTCTACACCGACATTGAAAGCTGCACACCTTCACAGTAAAACTACTGTCGAAGTCTCGAGGCGGCATGGCAACCACTAAAGCTGGTTCTGATTTCCTGTCTTTGAGCCTCTTTTCACCACAAGTCACTCCACGGATTCTGAAGCCAAATGTTGCATAAGCTACTATTTTACAGTTAGAGGGGAGGAGCTAAATGTTCCCTATACTATACCGCAGACGTATGCTGATGCTTAAATTTCTCATTTTGAATTCTGGCCCTGAATGCCCAGCTTAGTCCAGCAACCCATTAGAGCATGAGGAATTTACTCCATTAGTGCAAATGGGTTGGGCTGTGTCACCATAATTTTGACGAGGGGAAACGGCAGTGCAACTGCAGAGTCAGACATTCAGCGTGTAATAAGGCTGATTGGTTAACAGGACATTATAGATTATTCTTCACCTCACGAGTCACATCACAAGGAGCCGATATGTGACCCCGAGAAATGAGGTGATTGACATCCGAGACAAAGGGTTAAAAAAAAACAACCAAAAAACCCTGGTATTATTGCATAACACCCAAACGCTGGGTGAAACCATAGAACACATGCAATCAGCTCTCCTGTTAGAGGAGGGACAGTGATATTTTTCACTCTGGAGCATCATGTGGCACATCAGAGCAGTGCTTAAGGCAGAGTTCTCAGACAATAACAGGGCTGCAGTTGTCAGCATCTCCCCAGACTCCGCTGAAATACGACTCTGCTCCTCGCCAGAGCTCGCCTGATGTCGAGCTCTGGTGTTAAAGCCATCGCCTGTGGCTGTGAGCGACAGCCAGCCTCACTTGGACACGATTCACGCTGAAAGACACCTGCACGCACATAACATGTTAAGAGCGCAAGGCCACAGCTCGCGGCAAGAATGCGGAATGGGAGCAAATCCGTACAGATCAATGCCACTGAAAAATTCATCTTTTCAGAGTTTTCCTAAATAAAATATCACACAGTCTTTTAAGCTTTTATTCCCCAGCTCACCCTATTTTCTTTTTTTTTCTTTTTTCCCGAAACACAACACTGCTAGATTTTTCTGCTTGTGTCCAGATGGGGGCAGGAGAGTGCTCTGGTGATCACAATGCCAAACATCTGTCTCCATTTGTATCTGACCCACAATCATGCAGGGTGGACCAAGTTCATTGTGTTCCGTCTTCTGAATTACAAAATGCGATGGATAGGACGAAAATCAATATTGGTGACATTTCAAAATCATCACATCGCATAATGAACGGGAGTAAACGTGGCTACGTTTGGAGGTTAAAAGTGGACAGTTACCAATGCACACATATTCTTCTTCCGTCTTTTTCATTTTACTTGCACACACAGAGACATACTTAAAGCATTAGGTGAGCATAGACCAAAAGAGGTGCATTTTGATTAGAGGAAGGGCCTAAGGCAACTCCCCCCGCCCTGCTGGTGGAGGGGCAGGCACTGTGTCCCATGAAATCTGCACCTTCTCGAGCTTAGAGCAGCGTACCACGAAATACACAGCAACGCTGAACCAACCAACGCTCATTATGTTCACATATCCACGGGGACATCTGATAATGGTTCTTTTTACCTTCTAAACCTCACAGGAGACAAAGGCAGCAGTCAAAAGAAGAAAAACTCTAGGTGAGTTTTCATCATTTTTATGATCAGATGTCAGCATAGGAAAATGAGTAGGTGGCCCCCAAAGAGCAGAATGTAACTCTTGGAGGTCTTGCTGCAGTTTAAGGAGCGCTACTTTCCCAACATATTTACACAGTCACCCCCGAGCTCCGAGCCAAGCGTTGGTGTCACTGCCAGCCCACACCGGCGCACTCACATGTAGCCCCAGCGTCTGGGCATTGTCCAACCTGACCACAAAAACCAAACAACAAGCTGCAGAGGTCAGCTCGCTGCGTAGGGGAAATAAATCAGAAAGGACACATGCATAGAAAGTCACATAACCACACACATGTAGGTATAGAAGTATATGTGTAGACACACGCACGTGCAGAAAACTAAAGCAAAATGCATAAATGTAAACCGTCGTCAGACATCAATTGAATTTTCATCCACTTTCCCCTCCAGACTCTAGTCCAATCTCAGTCCTCAGAGCTGCTGCCAACAGCAACATGTCTGTCTGCCGGCCCCACTTATCCACAACACAGCCCCCTACAGTAACCATTCCCCCATCTCATTGTCGCTGCCCAGTTTTTTGATTCCCGCTGGATGTCCCGTGTCACTCTAACCCTTAGTTTCCCAGCCCCTGCGACACTCACTACACATATGACTTTAATCCCACATCTCTATGGACTGCGGGAAGGCATATTCCCATTTCCTGTTCTTTTGGGAAAGCTGAAACCGCTTCACTCACCTAGGAGGGCGTTTGGCTTGGGCATTTGCTGAAATCTACATTAAAAAGTGCTGAGGGCACACTTCACGGTTTGCTGACACAGTAAAGGAATAACATGGAGAAAAAAAGGGAGTGAAATATCAACTTTTGACATGAGTTAAGGAAAATCTTAATTATCCGTGGAAATTCCATCTATCCCAAGGATAGTGATGTCTGGCCTAGAATGTACAGAGTAGTGTGCTTTTTCAGTGAAGCAGGATGTATACCTTGGACAAGATAATGCAAAGAAGCACGTGAAGACATAAGTATGTGGAGCAAGTGGCTACTAGGATCCAGGTCCATATACTTGGGGTTTAAAGTTATATCACTAACCACAACCCTTTTCCACAGTAAAGGCAAAGACAGCTGTGGCTTAAGGAGTACAGTTGTCTACTAATTAGAAGGTTGGTGGTTCAATCCACAGTTGCCATCATAGTGTAATGTTAGGTATATAAGTACTTGTGTGATTGGGTAAATTAAACTTTCAGTAAGGACTTTCAGCATCATACACTGAGTTCTTTATTAGCTAAAGCTTTCTGCTGGAACTTTTTTCAAGTGCTGATTAAACTTTATCATATATTTAGGGGCTGGGTTTTGTGCATTGCATTGCATTTCACTGGAGTTTGCATGATATATGTGCCCTCTCCATTTATGCCCACCCCTCACCCAAACTGGTTGCATCTGCCGCAACTGGTTACATCTGGGAAAGTTTAAACAATAATAATAATAATAATAATGGATTGGATTTATATAGCGCTTTTCTAGGCACCCA